GGTGCAGTGCCGAATCTTACCTTCGAAACGGAAATATTCCTACATTTTGTACTTATCAAGGTGCCCTTTCTGGATTATTGTGAATTAAGATACCTTCCCCGCAGACCCAATTCGGTGTCAATATCATGCTACGGGTAAGCTCCGTTTCAACTTCCTTTTCTCCAGATCGCCTATCATTGCATTCACAGTCGACATATTGCTTTCGGCCATATAGCAAAGAGTGTCAACTTTTATTTGGCCAGCACCAGACTTTGTGCTGATGCTTCTTCCGACTCCGCGCTGAGCGAGATCACTACTTACGCATTCTGGTCGACGAAATTGTCGTCGCCTGCGCTTGTTGAACGTATCGTTCCTGCCTGTCCCTTGACTCATACTTTTACCTCGATTTCGGTCTCTTCGATACAGTTGTCTACTCTTTCTTACTGCCCAACAGGACTGTTGGTCCTTGCACAGCAGCTTGTAGGTCTATGTAGCTTCATGTGTATCGGAATCTGCTCTACCGCATTTTTCGGACGGAGATAGGCATATGCTAAGCCGAAGGGTCGCCAACTCACGGCAAAACAGCTCTAACCGATACTTTCACTCTACCGCGACTTACTCGTCATGGTATCCAGCTGTTTGTTCAGCGTGAGGAACTGAGTGGGGACCGACTTTGTCAATCCAAGCTAAAATGGAAGCAGGTTTGCCGGACGGTGTCGAGGAGAAGGAGCCCTGGAACCTATCACAGTTCGTGCCTTGAAGTCATGGTACCCAACTGCTTTACAACGGTGAGGTGATAGCCGCCGCGAATGATGTACCAGTCGACATGTACTATATCGCGCGCTGCTAGTTTGTCATCTAGCCGTCGTCATTGCGTTGCTGCGATGTGACGCCTTGGATCAATAGCTAAGGCCACTTAAACCAGCTTTCCGCGACGCCATTCAAACAACGTCGCTCTGTCCGAAAGTACTGTCCCGGCATCACTGATGAGCAAAGCTGCATTTAGTTTACTCCCCCGCCGGCAAGGTTTCATAACAAACACATCTAGACGCTCAGTAAAATTTGCAATGTGCCGTGCGTACTCCTTTTACAACTTCCAGGTCTCTCTCGTCGCAACTTCTGTCTTGCCAAGCCATCTGACATGATGCGATGCACTTACTGTCCTGCATCAACACAGCCTACACTCTACTTGTGATTCTTCTCCTCCCATTTGTACAGCCCGTAGCTTACCGCGGCTCCTGCGCTCGCCACCACCGTCGAGTTTCGCACTGCACACCACTTGCCACCTGTACCCACGACATACAATTTCGTCATACTTCGATCCACCTGAAATCTTCACACAATCCACGTACGAGTCAGAAGCGATGGGAAACCCACTACAGCTACTACACCCGCTGCCGCCATCGCTGGATGCTCGCGCTGGAACGCGTTTGCCTTCAATAGCACTGTGCAAAAAACACAACATCAACGATCCACATTCCTTACTGCGCAGTACTACTAAGCATCAACACCACATCGAACAGCACTACGCACGTTCTTGAGCACCAGCTAGTGCGCTCTTTACAGGCACCAGTTGGTCATTTGCAATCTGCTTGGTCTCTTGTAGCTGCTGTCGAGCCGCGTAGAGCTTCACATTGAGAGCTTCCCGTGCGACAGCCACGCTTTTACGCAGCTCCGTTCCCTCTTTTCCATCCGCGCGTTTGTAGACGTCCACAACGGGTGCGACGGCGGTCGCTGTAGCTGCCCACGCCTGCTGTGCCGTCTCGTCCAGCGCGTGACGAGCTGAGCCTGTCAGCTCCTTGATACGGTCCACTTCACTCTGCAGCACGTCGATCACATGCTGTACAGGACGGGAATGTGCGTCGTGCACGTGCTTGGACGCCTCGTCCAGCTCCTTGGACACTCGGCCTCGAGCGTCGTCCCACGGCTTCTTGTCGACGACCATTAGATAGTAAGTAATAGCGAGTGGGCGTGGGGTGCAGAACACAACTTTAATGTGGTTGACATCACGATACGAAGGGGCGCACCGATTTGTCCCACCTATCGATGACAGCAACACACACACTCGGACGTGATTGGTGTGGTCGACATTACTTACTTACGTCCACCACATCAAACTCGCGGTCGAGGCCAGCCGAACCGATTGGCAATGGAGGCGGCCGAGACGCAGCTGGCGCGTGCGCTGGCGGTGCTCACGGAGCGCGAGTTTCCATGTACTCGAGGTCTTGAAACGCGTCTTGACACTTACTTGCAGCTGGAAGATTTGCAGCGCCTTGAGGACTCAGAGGCTTCCGTCACACAGCTGCGAAAGCACCTGCCACTGCTGCTGAGCGAGGTGCGCTTTGACTTGCAGCAGAATTTACAACGTGACGTACTGCTAGCGGCGCTACGGTGCCTTTCGTACTTTATGCACCACCGGAGTCTGATTTCGGTCTTCTCCGACGAGTACCTAGCGTGGGTCTTGGAAGAACTGTTGGCGCGACTGTTTACAACGGAAGATCGGTACATGTACAAGTTGTGTCTCTTTAGCCTGACGATGCAAAATATCGCACCTGAGAGGCACAAGTTCTTGCCTCGTACTGTTGAAGCGCTGGTGCAAGCGGTGGTGAACCCGTTTAAGTCACGTGCAAGTACGTGATTTTGAGAGAGGTGATGAGCGAACATAAAAGAGAGTGAATAGTGACTCAGTTGTTGATGTGCTCTTAAGTCGAAGTGCAGGCACTGAAAGGACTTCGCTTGCTTCTGGTGAAGTACCCTGATCAGCTAGGCACTGATGGGACGATCTTGAACATCTATGTACGGCCGATCGCCAGTCGACTATCGAGTCGCGAGACGTCGACGAGAACACAAGCGCGAATGGTGCTAGAAGAAGCAAGCAAGCATGTGGCGAAATGGTCGGGAGAAGCGCTGGAAATGGTGCAGGATTGTATGGAAGAGTATGCGCTGCCTGTGATGAAGTCGCACGTGGGTGGTGGCCGTTTGAAAGATGCAGTCTATCTGTGGAAGCTGATTTTGACACTGCTGAGGTCCAAATTTTCCAGTGATATGGCAAAGCTGAATCAGGTCTTGTACGTCCCAGAAAGATGTATGGAAGATGAAAATGCAGCTGCCCGGATGGTGGCTATGCAGGCGTGGACTCTAGTGGTGGACGTAGTTCGAAATTGCCAGAACTGGCTGTTTAACAAGGCTGTTGTGGGCTTACTGGCGTGGCCAGTCAAGTTGTGCATCAAGCAGGAACGGTTATTGAACATTTTGGATACTGCGTTTTCGTCATGGAGGACGATAGCGAGCATCGCAGTCCAAGACTTCAATGTCTATTGCAAAGCAACAGGGCAGTCTATGGGGCCAGGAGAACGTTACCGTCATGTGCCTGAATGGAAATCGTGGTACGGGGAACTGGTCATCAGTCCGTTGCTTACGCTGATGATGAAGCGATCACGAAGCAAGCACAGTGCATCAACTGCAATTGAGCTCAAGCCGTTTATCGAATTCGTTAAAGACATGTGGGAGCCCAAAGCGCTGGGATCTTGCAATCGGGAGTCTGAGGCGCTGGGATCCGGTGAAACTAGGGGTGGTGTTCTTTCGTACGAAAGCGATCGTAGTACCGTTATAGAAGGGGCTGCTGTGGCAGCCACTGTGGGTGCGAAGCATTTGGAAGCGAGCCTTGTTGCGAAGCAAAGCAACGGTCGTGTTTGCATCTCATCGGAGCTGCGTGGTGTCGCTCTTCTGCTTCACGACATCTTCGGGGTGATCCTAAGCTTGATTGCGATAACCAATGAAAGTCATGACGAGCATGTTGCAAGCTATGCGCATGACTTGGCGATAAGCACATGGAAAGGGGTTTGCCGTCGTATTTTCTCGGATGGTCCACGCAAAGGAGCTAATATAGCGTCAAACTTAGCCTTGCGGCTTGCGCGGCGATCAATCGAGTTTTCATTCGGTATATATACAGGGTCGGCTATGGCAGCAACATCACCGTCATCTGCTGCTCCAGTCAAACATACAGGCGATAGCATTGATGGTCACAATGGTGGGGTGGGTGTTGTTTCATCGGCGGCGTTTGGGTTGAAGTGGCAACTGCAACTGCTCGCCACGCTTTTGTCTAATGTTACAGTTCCGGAAGACTTGCGAGCAGTGGTGCTTCACCCGAAGTGCACATTATTTGACTGTATCACTCAGCGCATGCACTGCCATGAACAGAGGTTTATTCAGTGTGCAACTGTGTTGGAAAAATGGAGTGGATCTAAATCTAGCGAGCCCCGAATCGACTTTTCCGCCAAGTCAAACGCGCTCCCGTACCTTGTGATAAATTTGCTTTTTGAATACGCTAAACTCGCTGATAGTACGGACAGCAACCATGAAGTTGAAAGAGAATCTACGTGGAAGTTACTGGATATGGTCCTGCGGAGACTTATGGAATGTATGAAGCCGAACGCCTCGATGGAGGCTCGTGGGCTAGATGCTTTGGCACATTTTGTGGAGGCTTCTATTCTGGTAGCTTACAAGCGTTTTGGTCATGGTAGCGGTGTCAAAGTAAATACGAGTATGTTGGACGAGTTTGTAAATGTAAGCAAGAATTTGAGGGAAGAAGCCAGCGAAAACAGCCATCAGAGTGCGTCGCTAGCGCTCGGCTTGCACGGTCCTCGGGATACTTTTAGCGTTGTCAAGACAGCCAGCACGGCTGGCATTCCTAGCGACGGGTCCGATGCAGAAGAAAAGTGTGCTAACAATGCTTCACACGAGGCGGAGTGTTTGCTGAGGTCACGCGATACCGATACCTGCTCGCTGTGCCTGCTCAGCGGAGAGGTCTATAAAATGCCGAGTGCGAGCCTTCGCAATCGTACTGCAGCATCTTCAGTCGATGAGCTAATGCAGGCCCAACGAAAAAGTCGGCGAAGCTCATGTCACGGACCGATTGAAAGTGTTGGTTCTGAAAGTGCCGATATCCAGCTAAGTCACGATGGGGCTTCCGGTGCAAGGTGTCCGCCGACGCGGCCCGTCAGGGATCGATGCACCTCATCAGAGCTATCAAGTAAGCGAATTGATTGCTTGGATCTTCTTGATAGGTCGCAGTGCGTTTACCCCGGCCTTATTGGATGCGTAGAAGGGATCGCGTTATTGTATAGGTATCTTCCGGAAGCATTCAGGCCCTTGTTTTCGTGCTACAAGGTTGAGACGATAGGTGATTTGAGCGCCCTATCTTTGGAAAAGGTGGAAAGTTTTGGATTTCATCAGTCTGTGAGCACTATTCGGCGGGCCCTTGAGGACTTTGATGCATGTCAAGAACGCACGACACCAATGCCAAGCAATTCATTCCAAAAGCAGAATGATTTGACTGCCGAAAGCCAGGCAATTCTTTTGCCATCTTTGCACAAAAGGACTAAGCGTGGATTCTCCGAGGAAAGTGAAGGTATCGCTGGGAGGCACGAACACAAGCGTATAAAGTCGTCATTGCTTTTGGAAGCCAAAGACCGTGGAGTACAGCAAGATGGTGAGGGATGTGGACAAAAAGCCGGACCGGCTACCAAATCCGCGGCTTGCTATCCAACCGGTGGCACAGGTGAGACACGAATTGCCTGCCGTGTGGACTGCTCATCGGACAGGTCGGATGCTACTGATGATGTCGGAAAAAGGGGAAATGCGCAAGACAAAGTGAGCACCTGTACACTCAAGCTACTCCAGCATCTACGGAGATCCGGGTACTACGTGGATACGCTCATTGCTGAAGAGGAGAGTACGCGAAGCGAAGAGGCAAGTTTAAGGACCAATATCGCAGCACTTGGTGGTGTTCTTGCAAATTACCACGAAGCCCATGATTTGGTGTCTCGACTCGCATCACGACTTCGCACAGCTGCTGAAACTAGCTCCAAGCGATGCCGTAAACTGTTGGATAAGTGCGGCTCGACGTGAGTCTACCCAGACATCGTACAGGAACTCGAGAAACCGAAAAAAGCTAACTGGTACGTTAGCGCTTTTTTGAGAACCGCTCTACAAGTCATGATGGACGACGTGATTGGCGTTCCTGGTACGAGTGCAGAGTGGCACGCTGTCGAAAAACCGCGGTCGGCATGATTATCATAGTCTGGTTCGTTGCTTCACTGATCGGTATTGCGAACGAAGAAGCATGGGTAAAGTGAAGAAGTAAACAAACGTGTAGCGCTCAACCACTTCATTCAACCAATCCACGGTGCGATGGCCAGGTGCACGTGCAGACCAATCTCATGGGCAGGTGGCTCAACAGCCACGAAAAGGTGACACTATCGGTACTCTAGACGTGGACAAGCCGGGTATATGCCACTCTGCTATGGCTCGGGAAGATGGCAGCCTCGATCAACGAGGCAAGCGTTTTGCGAAATTTCGTAGACGCCCATACCGTGCATGCTGCGAGTGATGGAACATTTGCCTTTCCGCAACGTGTTCGGCTCACTTTGACATATTCCTGACAAGAACGAAGCCGACGACGTTGCTTTTGGACTGTCGAGTCAAGTGCGTAAGATAGCGATCTTGCAATGCCGTTCCTGAGGCCAGCAAAGGAAACGGAGCGTGGCAGCTCGTCGTGGTACCGGCAATTCGTCCGACGTTTTTTACACAGGAGTTGTTGCTTTCGTCCAGGCCGTCATTGGGTACCCAAATTGTAGACCCCCACACTCCACTTCCCACGTCATTCTGCAATGCCGATGGACGGATCAAGACTACGTGCCAGGGCAAGCCCCAGTCGCTGTGCTAGCCGAGCGTCTGGCAGACACAAGCATATATACTCCGCAGTACTGAATAGCGCGAGCCATTAAAGTAGATGTGTTTGCTGCTGCTATCTTGCAAGATACTGGTTGAGTCACGTGTAGACTAGTCCAGCACTCGACGAGCGCTTCGACTCCGAATTGAGGACCTTTTGTTTTTCGTGCCCTCGAATGAAAAATACATCGCGTGTGAGCCCCGTCGTCAGTATTTCAATCGTCTTACCTATCAGGTGAGATGACACGACGTCTATCATACTTCTTGTCGAAAGAGATGACTTTTCCTGCTAGTTCAGGCTACCTGTGCCCGAAAAAGGCAAAGCCGTTTTCTCCGCGGCGACCCCCGTTCGAGCATCAGCTACTTGCCGTGACATGCTCACGTGCCTTCCGCGTCCTCACTGGATCACGTGCCCATTAACGCCGCCACATCACCTCTCATCGGCTGTGTCATCAAAACCTCATCAAAATCAATTGGTATGCAGCAACTCCAATTGCAAGTAAGGAGAACTGTGCGTCGTTCAGGGACCTCATCGTGCCCTTCTGATCGACTGCGTCTTGACCAGACATGTCCAATTACATCCGCAAAGCGTGTGCGCTCATCACCACAAAACTCGATATCTTGAGCACTGTAAGGACGTCCAGACCACGTCCCAGTCTTCTCACTCGCGTCAACGCCACGTAATCTGCTGCGGCACACGATGCAACCACATCGATTCTGAAGCTGCGGACGTCTGCTATGGTCACGTAAATACTTCACGACAAACTTGACGACTGTGGGAAGTCATGTCGTTTTTTGCGCCTGGACAAAACGCCCCGTCGTCCGAACGTTTCGCCGCCAGGTGCTTCGAACCGCACGAACGTCTCTTCTGTGTTTGTCTTTCGCCTTTGCGCTGCTTCGTACAGAGACAGCGCCGTCTTTGGTCGACGCGGTCGCTCTGGTTACCTGTGACAACGTATCGTGTGAAACGTAATCAGTACACGATAAGTCCACAAATCAAGACGTGGGGAGATGGACGATACCTTCGAGCAACACGCACCCGAAATCTTCTCAGCCTCTTCACTGTGGCATTTCGATCTTCAAGATGACGACCGGCGAGCACTATGTGCTGTACTCGTATTGGCGCAGCAGCTGCTCGTGGCGCGTGCGTCTCGCCTTGGAGTGGAAGGGCATTGCGTTCGATTATCGCACTGTGCACCTGTTGAATGGCGGCGGCGACCAGTTCCAAGACGAGTACACGGCGCTCAACCCGAATCAGGTCTCGTTCAGTTACAACGTCACTTGCTCCTGATAATTCGGTACTAACACAAATGAGACAACGGCTGTGGTCAATGATGCAGCGTATACCAACGCTCGTAGTCGACGGACACGTCTTGCCACAGTCCAATGCTATCCTCGAGTTTCTGGAGGAGACGCACCCGGAGAAGCCATTGCTGCCAACCGATGCGTTTGCCCGTGCGCAGGTGCGCAACTTGTGCGCTATAATCGGCTGCGACGTCCAGCCGATTCAGAACTTGACAGTGCAGATTAAGGTGCGCGTCGAATGGGTTTTGTGTTTCATGGCACAGCCAAATGTCCCTCTTCTTACGATGGTCGTGAAAACACTGTAGGCGACGGAGGACGTCCCGGAGGAACATCGACCTGCTAAGAAACAGCAGTGGTCTCGGTTTTGGATCGAACGAGGATTCCACGCTCTTGAGGCGGAGTTGGTCAAGACAGCTGGCACGTACTGCTACAAAGACGAGGTCACCCTTGCTGATCTGTACCTGCAGCCGCAAGTCTATAACGCCAATCGAGTTGGCGTGGACATGGCTAAGTACCCGACCATTGCTCGTATCACTGCAGAACTGGAAGCCATACCAGCGTTTCAACGAGCACACCCGTCCCAGCAACCAGATGCTGTTAACTGAGTCGGAGGAACGGCGATTATCGGCCAGGTTTCGACCGAAAGAATCAAATCGTGCGTTCATTGTTGTTATCAAACTTTCTTGGTGCAGCGTATCTTTTCCTTGACTGCTTCCAGGTGCCTCTTGATAGCACGGACTTGCTGCTTGTCGACTTGACCTCGAGCTTTCTCTAGCGCAAGCGCAGCGTCCATTTCCTTTTTGAGCTTCACGTATTGCTCGTGCGACAAGTTGCCGCCGAAGGGAGAGCTCAATAGTAAGTCAACCTCAACACTACTCCGAAGAGTTCGAAGCGTGTCCGCGAAGTGGTGGATGCAGCGCTGGCGACGGTAGTAAAACCACGGCTCAAAGTGAGCGGACTTCACAAAGGCAGTGTACAACGCCCTCCACTTGGTTTGCTTGACCTGTGGTGGAAGATTTCGGGGCTTGATGCTTTCCAGTAATTCCGGTAAAGCAAACGGTTTCATGTAGTCCTCAGCGCTCATGTACAGATTTGAGCGCATTTCGCTTGGTTTCCAGATACCAAAGTATTGCTCGAACGGATGCAAGAAGTCCTTTGTAAGTTTCCGAAAGTGCTGCATCAATCGATCAGGGTATGCTCGCATTAGCAACGCCACGTATGCGTGCGTAAAGATAGAGCAATGGTGCAGTTCTTACCTTTCGCAGAATGGCATTGTTGATTGTGACGTGTGGCGCTTCTTCAAACATCGTGGCTGGTGTGGTGTGAGCATCCGGGGGTAAAACAAGTTGGCGAAGTATCTTTGGATCTGGAACTGTGTACCGAGAGCAACGCCGCAGAAGCTGCAAATGTCAACAATTCAACATCAGTTTGTCGAAGAGAACAGGTGAACATTCGCAGGCTCACCATAGGTCGATGACAGTTTCCAAAGTCATCCAGCTCTACACCCTTTTGAATACGAAGGCAAATGGTGCCAACCTCCTCCGCTTCCATAGCACTTTTAGCTCCAGTGGCACCTGCACATCCATGAGAACGTTTACCGGACACAGTCACGTCATGCTCAGCATAACTTCGACATCTTTTGTTACCTTTTACTCCTTGTTTGGCGCTTAATGGATCTAAAAATGGAAAAACAAGAGCGTTTGGCCAACGACTCAACGACTGCGTGGTAGATAGAACCAGTGTGTTACAGGATGCACCAGCAGAGAGCTATGTACATTCAGTACCTTCATGAAGAACGGGTTTGTGGTTCCTATGACGGTCACGTTGTTCGGGTCGCTCGCACCACTATTTTGTCTACTTGAGAGCGCCTGCACATTGTTAGTTCAGCTCATCATCAGTTACACAATACAACGGTCTGCGAGCTTGCTGCGAACGCTTACATCAAAGTCGGCTTCGTAAACAGTATAGTATGGCCGACAGTCGCCACGGAACTGGAGTGGCGCAATTAAACTGGAACCATGCAAGATGATCATGAGAGACCGATAAAAATATGATTCGAAAGGTAAGAGCAAACCTGGTAAAGGCAAGAACGGCTTGACTGCACGTTCTGGCGTGCGGAGACAGAATCAGAACACTCTCTCCGGTAATTGCGAGCTGCCATAGAAGCCATAGCGACTCAGCCAGATCTCCGAAACTCGAATACAGTCCAACACTCTACGATGAAAATATAAAAAAGGACAAGGTCAAGAGAGGTCTCACCAAAACCGACAATCTACACGTACCTCAAATGGAGTTGAGTGGAATGTGCGCTTTGAAAGCAATAAATCTCCGAACGATGGCGATGGTGGCCGCTGCCTTCGTGCTACCACAAACTTGCCTTCTTCGACAAGCACGGACTCACCCGCTTCGTCATCGTTGCCGCCTTCTTCGCCATCTCCGAACTCAGGCAAGTCGATATTTTCGTCCTCTTCTTCGACGATAAAATGTGAGTGCAGCGGAGAATCTACATACGACTCGTCTGCTGCTTCAAAGTGCTCGTAATGTAGCAGTTTTGGGATGATACAGGATATATAGATCCCAGCAAGTGGCAGCACTACGGGTATGTCATGCGTCACTTCAGGCCTGTTTCCCACAAAAGAAATTACATACAGCCAACCGTTAGTATCAAATTACTGCAGTTTCATGCGGTGACCGGATACGGCAAGTATGTCGCACCACGACTCAATGTTGTTGTACACTGCCGCTAAAACCTGCGGTCCGACCTTAAAGAATAGCGGGCCAACTACCCGCAGAATACGGTCGTAGAGATCGACATAGGGCTTGGTGCTTACGAGCACCAGAGCCTTCTGGAAGTACCCGCGAGTGCGCGAGTCGTCCCTTCGCTGACGGAAGAGCACGAAACCGTACAAAAGCTCGCGCCTGCTCCACGCAAATCCACCACTCGCCACTAAGAAGAGGCAAAACAACAAACGATAGATCAACGGCAAAGACAATCGACTGACTCTTTTGGGCCGTCACGAAAGCGCACGATGTACTGCGTGTCTCCCTCGTCCTGATTATTGCAATGGGGCAGCGACAAGTGCGCTAAACTCGCTCTGGCAGCCTCCGAGAGACCGCACGTCGGCGGGTATAGCGCGTCCAGCTTCTGTCCAGCGTCAATGTCGAACACGACGGTCGCTAGCGCTCGTAAGCCATAGGTGGAGGCGAGATCGTCGTCGTTCGCGCTGCCTTCGGTGTGCATGAGCGACTTTTTCTGCACTTCTTGCGACCTTCAAAAGATCATTTGAGCAATCTTTTGCTCGATGTGAAGAAATGCAGAATAGAAAGCGCTTTTTGTGCAACGGTCCTTACAGTATTTTTGGTCTTCGAGCTGTGGAATAAGATGACATCGTTGTGCGGGTGGGGCAAAGTGTCTACCTTGTGGTCCACTGCACCAACATTCAACCATTTTCAAGGCTGTACAAATGGATGGTCCGCACTCTTATCACATCGGATCTGCTGCATGGCACCGGCGTCACTGAGCACAACTTTGTTGACGCTTACGTGTGCAAAACATGTTGCATAGCCCTCTTGATGGCGCCAGCACTAGGTTGAGATCCTGCACTCCCGGCGTATTAGCAAGCATTATGGCTCCTCAATCGATCGGGTTGCGGGCCAAGCGGGAAAGAGTGTGTCGCGGTTCCTCCTATTGTCGTCAGTGCACCACATTGCTGCTCATCCTGACCTTGCCATCATTTTTGTCGTATCACAATGCTGTCTGTCCGACCCGAATGTCCAGGCTCTGCTAGGATCAATATGTTTGCAAAGCTCGCATCAATACAAATGACGCAGTTTGGTGGAAAGCTACTAGCCGCGTTGGTCTAAGATACTCGTGGATATATTGGCGATCTATTGTCCGTGGATGTCCCCGCTGCAAGCAAGGTTTGCCTCGTGACACACTGGTCCCCCGTTTGCTTGATTACGGCGGAACTGCCCTGCTACTTAAAGTATTCATATGGTACGAGGGTGAAGCGTTGGTGTCCGGTGGTACGAGATGCACCGGAGTATCGTGTATCAACTTGCTTTGCTATTGTATAGGGAAGAGAACATGTGGAGGTGTCTTGGTGGCCGACTCAAATCCAGCCATGTTTTTGCTTTTGTGTTCCTTTTCAGTGTCCGGCTTGACGACCGACACTGCGCGCATAAATCGTGCATGCAATGCTTGCATCCGCCGCACATCGTAGAGTGGACGGCTGTCTGATTGTACGCAACGATCGAGTCAGGTCCTGGAATGTGTCCGAAGTAGTACGACATCCGTTGCAGTTTCTCGTTCCTACAGCCTCCAAGTGTGCCAGCTCACAGTTCCCTTTTCCAACGCTTCTAGGATCATCGTCGTTTATATTACAGCTGTTCTTCAGCGACAGCCCGAATTCGTAATTCAACATGCATCACCATCGGCAGGGCACTGGCTCGCAGCATTCACATGTGTACAGCTCGTATTAAAGACCGTGTGAGCTTCCTGCCAATGCGTGGCTTTCTATACTACACTCGATCGTCGTGGAAGATTGGGTTGTCGACGCGCCATGTCCAGACGTACCAACCATTCTAATACGATCGTGGTAGCGTATCGCAGCGATCGTGCGGTTGGGAAGGCTGTAAACAGTGACAATGGCCGGGCGTTCGCGGTGCACAACATTGTGACGTGACGTCGTCTCTAAAGCGTGTTTACTGCCTAGCGTCCTCCTTTATTAGGCTTCGTAAACACCGATGGGGGCACTGCCTATGAAACGCCATCCTCCCGACAATCGCTGGCATGGTGAGCCTTGTCGACCGCCGTTGGACGATCCCTGCTGCTGGCATGTCAATACCCACACAGCGTCCACACCAGTTCACGACGGTGCAGGGCACGTGCACAGATCTCCAAGACGACCCGAACAGATTCGAGGGAGACTCGGATTTGGCCATTGAAGATACGCCGATCAGCTGATTTTTCGAACACAGCCCCAGTTCCCGAGAAAAAGAAAAGAACAATCTCAGAAGACTGCGTCACCTGGCTTTCGACCAATGCACGGTCGACTTTCCGGCGCCCCTCGCCACAATTGGCTGACCACGTTCGTGGCAATCTTCCCATCGTGGTCCTCAATGCCTGGGGCGAAAAAGAGAAGCAAAGGCACGAAACCACGAGCGAGCGAGTGAGTGGCACTCGCTAATATTCGCCGAATCGCGGCGGTTACTCGATACAACGCCACCAGTGCAGTCGCCACCAGGCGATCGATTGCGACTCGAGGCTTGCAGACGTGCGGAAGGCCAACGAAGGCAAAAGATCGAGACGCCGCTGTCTAAGTTTGACTTTCTCGCCTCTTTCTCTGTTACCTTGGCGTCGGTCGTGAACGAGCGCACAGACAGGGCGGCACACGAGACGTGGGGTTCCTTTTTTCCCTGCCGGCACACGCACATTTGCACAAAACTGCTGAGATCGAACGAAGCAGTGGTCGATGAGAGACCCCATCACGCAGTGCATTGGAATGAAGCAAGAGCCGCGTCAGGATTATCCCACTTCCATAGTCGCAACCGCAATGAGCACGGACAACATGGCCAAGATTGGAGTCTCCAAGTCACGCTTTGTGTCGAAGGTGGACGAGGCAACGAACGGGTTGCCGCAGCAGCAGAACGGATGGGACATTGCTCCGATCAAGGAAGGTGGTAATCGTGCCAAGCCTGAGACGCCCAAATTTCTACAACTGCTGTACGAAATTCTAGAAGTGGAAAGTCCCCGAGTCATCCGGTGGTCTGAGGACGGTCTGGCTCTGCAGATCTTGGATCCCGTGACGGTCACGGAACAAATCTTGCCGAAATACTTTAACCACACGAACTTCCATAGCTTCCAGCGGCAGCTCAACTACTTCGGCTTTCGCAAGTGGACCAAGTCCAAGACCGATATTTGCACTTTTAGTCACCCTTTCTTTCGAGAGAACCAGCCAAAGCTGCTGTTGCTCATTAAGCGCAAGAAAGCTCCACGAAGAACCCCATCCAGCACATCTGGCAGCACAACTTCTGGCATGACTGCGGCAAACTCGATGTCCAAGCAACACCCGCCTTGCGCAAAGCGCAAGCTGCCATCAGATGACAGTAGCGCTGAAGTCCCTCATGCCCGAAAGACTAGCATACGCATTGAGATGACAAACTCAACAGCAGTCCATGGCCAGTCCATACTTGACGAGATACCGCTCAGCGCCATGACCACGCCGCACGGCTGTTCCTCGAACGGATCGCTGAATTTTTCACAATGTGGATCGAAGCGTCAGTGTTTGCCGGAGCTGAATAACGTTATTTCTCCTGTGGCGGCTACCGGGTGCAAGAAGAAAGCAAAAAAAATTGAGAAGAAGGGATACGTAGCGACCGCGACCATACACACTCCGTTACCATCATCAAGCGATGTGTTCAAGTCAATTGTACAACCGTCGGCTCTACCGCCGATGAATGTATCAGCATTCGTGCCATCGGGGTCGATGGCCGCTCCTAGCAACGGCGCTACATTGTGCAGCAGTAGTTGCGTGAGCTCTGACAGTGGGTACGCTCCTATCTTAGGGCTTACTTCAACGCCGCTACCGACTCTGAATATCGTGCGCAGTCGCCTTATTCAAAGTCAGCAAGTTGGTGGATCGGAACAGCAACAGTCAATCCTACGACAACAGCCGTACGACTACAATGGTGTCTCTGGACTTTCAGCACCTGACAAGCCTCCGTGTGCGAGTGTGCCGGCCATGAAGAATCGGTCCGGTGTTTTAGTTCAACCAATGGCTGTGGCATCTGTCCCTAGAACAGAATTGAATCCAGGCCAGAGTGCTGCGTCCTCAAACTCCTTCAGTGATCCAGTGAACATCCTTCTTCGTATCAAGAAGTCACAGGCTTCGTCTGGTGCAGGCCAGGACGTGGGGACGAAAAAGCAGCGAGCCGACGACCAATACGACAACTTGACTTCGCTGCATAACTATCTGCTTGGAACAAGCTTGTTTACCAACCGCCTGCAGGCTCAGCTGAAGTTCGTTTCAGAAGAGAACGAGACCTTGAGGTACCTTTTGGACGCGAAGCAGCGCGAGGTAGACGAGTTGCATGGTGGACGAAAGGTGCTTCAGCAGGAAAATGCGGTCCTACTTGAAGACAAAAACAAGCTGTTCGAGATAAACCGTGACCTGTTAGGCAAACTGTTTCCAAAATGACTGGAAAGAAATGTGAATACGTCTCTGTCCCGTAGGGATAATGCAGCAGCAGGGCTGGCTCTTTGTGAGAGTCGAGTGTCGTTCCAGCTACTTCAACCGCCTAACTATTCAGCAGAAGAAGGAGCTGGGACCATGTTCAACGTCAAGCTTCAAGCACCCAGGCGACTAACTGTCCGAACAGCAACGATCGCAGACGCCATGTACAAAACAAATGAATTGCGCAAAATACAGATCAACCATCAAGTGTGTACGATCAATCTGTTGTACGTTTCCCGTTGTTGCAGCTACACCATCCCATGTCATACTTGCCGCGTTCCTGAAAATAAGGTAGCGGAATCACACCACGGATGTAATGCTTGCACGAAAGAAAAAGCAAGAGCCTGAAGCCCAGGCCCCAACGGACATGAGATACGGGACTGGGTCAAGTTCCGATCAGGACAAGCATTTGCAGAAGCAGTGGCACGTCCATCAGGCTTTTCCTCAGCAATCAGACCAAGTTAACGCACCTTTTCTTCCAACTCTTCTTCTCGTAGACGATGTAGTCGTTAGCTCACCGACATCTGGTACAGCGGATACGTACTCGCTTGCAGGCCATCAAATACGACCCTACAAGGGTCAAATGTCTTGATCTCTGCACGGTAATCCGTCACGAAGTTTGGCCCACTGGCGTACCAATCAGTGAGTAAAAGTGCTGCTTGTAGATCTATTGCTTAGCCACATCTTTCCGATACTCAAAGTGCATCTGCTTATGAACTTCCCTCGTCGGCGAATCCGAACAACTTCCGATGCGTAAACGAGCGACTTCGCTTTCATCATTCGCTGAGCTGTTCCAATGCTTGCTTATCAATGTTCTGGACAAACGACTCGGCGTCTTTGGCGCGCGTATCTAAGCCACAGAGTACTGATCAGCAGCACCCTAAATATCCAGTGCACCATCATGCTCAGCAAATGCTGTCTCCGGATCCACCGCAAAAGATTCAGATAAAGAAGCATAGCGTTGCTGCTCCAACGCGAATGCTGGACTGTGTATACACCACCCATCGCATAGGCGTACACTTCCCCGCGCCAATGACCGAAACGGTCCAATATGTTGGCATGCCAAACATCGCTCCTTCTATCGACCTTCTGCGCCAAGCGAAGCATCGAAACCAACTTAAACGATACTTGCAAGTTCACCAGTGCTTAGGGCGAGACGCATCGATCTTGGCAACACAGAACATCCTGCCGGATCAATCGTTCGAGGCTGCGAAGGGACAGTAATGCCATCGGTAGTCATATCTCTAGAAATTTGCGCGCAACAGTTACCCCCGACACAATCAGCAGTTCACTTGGCCGATTCGAATCCGCCACCTTCAGCTACTCGGTCGCCCTCGAGACCCAGTATCGCTGAAGCTTTGCGTACACGCGGGACAGCACAAACTTGTTTGTGCGTGCTTGCAAGCGCGTATACTTGCAAGAAGTTCAGTGAATAGCGCTTGTTTGTAGAGAAATACCCGCGTCGTACTTGCTTACCGCAGCACGTGTATCCAAGCGCAGTTTTTGTCGCTTCTGCTTTTCTCCAGACATCTGCGGCAGCTCTGCATCCGGGAAGATACCTGTATCACATGTACTGCCACGAAGTGTGGCTCCAGGAGACTAATTGATACAATGTATTACCATCCATGTCACGGGGTAGCCCGTTTCATGATATTGCCACTAAGGATAATATCACAATAGAGAATATTACGTTGAATATTCTTTCAACAATATCACAGAGCATGATGATATTGTTGAAGATGACCGAAGGGTCTACTGATTGGTTGATAGCGTGATGATATCAACCCACCAATCGCTGCCAGACGCGCGCAATGGGTGGTGAGTAGACGTCACCATACACTCAGTTAGATTAATATATTAAGTCAGGACAAACAGCGACACAGTATTGATAGGACTTGATTGTATTAAATAACAGTTTTTCATTTCACCACGACTATAGCCTTGCCTTAGTCGTTACCTTCCTCTGTGTAAGTGTTTCAACCTTGATGGGCACAACAGTGACCTTCACTGTTGTCAGTGAAAGGTAACTCCGTACTGGTAGTCCAGTACGTTGTCACCAGTGCCCCGTCACACCTGGTAGCACTTAATAGTCCATCCAAGAACCACACTCACATCGCCCAACATGAACATGTTGGACGAAGTCGAAGGCGACAGATTTCACGGAACTCGTAAAGCTACTCTCATTTGAGCGATGTAGAATTGAGTGCGATCGAACGAATGAGTGCGATCGAACGTATGAGTTCGACCGTTGGTGAGGAAGATATCTGGGCCATGCTATCCGCAAGGGATAGAGACCAGCAGCATTCCGTCATTAGCAAGTTCATGCAGAGAGAACTTGACGAGTCGCGAGCGCAGGTGACCTTGTTGAAACAACAAGATCACCAGTGGACGGAATCACTGAGACAACAACAGTCTCATTCCGCGCTGTCAACGCGTGAGCGTCGACAGGAGTCTCTAAAGCTAGAGATATCCAAGTATCGGGGAGTCGAGAACGACTCCCCGTTAAGATGGTTCGTTGAGGTCGACGGTGCCATCGAGGCCCGTCGCATCGACAACGAGAGAATGCAAGTCGCATTCGCTCAGTCTTACTTGGCAGGGTACGCCCGGAACTAGGCCCTGAATCTCGAGTTACACAACCCGAACGTGTTCGAGTCGTTAGACGTCTTCAAGACCCTACTCAGTGAGACGTTTGAGCCTCCCAGGGCAGAGTTCAGGAATCTCTTTGAGCTCCTTGAGATCAAACAAGGTAAGCGTAAGGTTCACGCTTACGCTCAGCATGTGCGCTACCTTGCAAGTTGCATGGTAGTGGACCCTGGGAGTGAATTTGTGAAGATCACAATATTCATTCAAGGTCTTGCAGGGGGAATCGTAAAAAAACACCAGTGTTCGCCTAAAAACACCGTTACGATAAGGCTATCCATTAGCCTTATTTAGTATATACACGAAAGGGTAGAGAAGATACCACTTTCGATTGAGCTTCGCTAGAAACGTTTCTAAGATAAGTCGGACCCTCCGCTTTTTGACCGGAATGCGGTCGAACACCTTCGGTCTGTCGCGGGCAAAAGAGAAAATTTAGATCACATCTTTTGGGGTTGTCCATCGCCCAGGGTTGCTGGCTTACACTCATAACCTACTGGACCGGATGCACGGGAAATCCGACCAGTATGCAGCTTCATGCGAGTTTTTGCATGTCACGGACGTCCCCGCCGTTGAATCCGATCATTTCACGGCGGCTGCTGAGCGCGTTTGGACATTCAATGGAGGCTTATATGTGTCAATGGAAGCGGATGTGGTGGGTATAATGCTTAATATGTATCACGATTATATGGGTTCAGCGCGATCGGGTCGCTCACGAAGGTCTTTCCGTCACTTTGGCGGAAGGTATATACGAATACATGGTGTAAAGTTTTTGGCAATTACACGCACTAGCGATGCGGGAGAGTAGGAAGCTACACACCCAGGTGGCCGGAACTCGTATAATGCAATGCATTGGGCTGCTCACCATGGCCCCATCTAGAGCACCGCACACAGCGGTGAGACTCGTCCAACCATTGGATCATTCGACACCGGCGTTGCTATCCTGGCTTAGGTCTTTCCAGACGTCTTGTACACCATAATTTCGTATAATAGACAGTCTGTTCCCCTCTCTCTGATCAACGGCCTGCAGTCTTCACTTGCGAGACGACGGCTCCTGCAACGGCGCAGGTACAAGCCAAGGGCGTGACGGCAACATCTGTAGCAACGATTTCTGAACCGGTGGAGCTTGCTGCTGTTGAAACTTAAGCGGCCTCGGACGAGACAGTCTTTGCAGCGGCGGGATTGGCTGCGTCGTCGCTGTGAGAGCGAAAGGTATGATGGTGGCGGTATGTCCAACAGCATTTACATTTTTACACACCCATTAGTTATCAATTAGGACTATTGACGCTTTCCTTAGCATTACGTCGGCAAGGACATGTCTCCTCGGCATCATCTATGGGAGTCAACAAAAAGTAATTCAACGATGGCTTTGCGCAAAAGATATCTCGTGCAAGCAGAAAGTAGACCAACCCACGCCATTTAATTTATGGTGTGATCGGTCGTGCCATATTAAATCTAAAATACACACGCGACGCTAGTTAGCCCTGTTGCACAAAACCTGTCAGCAGCAGCATTATTAACCTGCTATTATTTCCTCTACAAGAGAACAAGTATAACCATGTTATAATACTGCAATAAACGCCGATGAGAAATAGGACGGCTTGTGCCAGCGTGAATTCAAGTAGACCGGTGCCATATACTGCAGTCTCCTTAACAACACAGATCATTTAGCTCCAAAATCGATGGTATGTATTTCACACGGCATCGCAAGTACCTGATGCGTTGCGCCAATTTACGAACCAAGCAACGCCCGGTTGGTCGCGGACACCGTAAGTCACATCGACACGTTCAAAAACCATAGCATTAAGTCGAACATATGACCATGATCGCTCCAGGCCCCCTGCAGCCATCAACACAACATTATCAAACCAGCAGTCAGTTATCGAACCTCATTATTTCTTACTCACACCCACGTACCTGGATTCTACTACTTGTAAAAACTTTGCACCATCCGAAAAGTTGTTAAACTCCCAGAACGCGACACCAGCGTGGGTCTACTCAACATCAATAACAACACGACATAAGAAAATACCAGCGAAAGCAATTTACACAACAAAATGTGGTTTAGTTTGTTAGTCACTCAGTCATCAGCCACGTCGAAAAAGCACAATTTCTCTCTCTTTCTTGCATTGCTTTGGCTATGAGTCCACAAACTGCAACAGCCCGTCCCTCGTATCCTATTATTGTCTACTCAGACGATTGGCGGCAATCTTAAAAGACGGCAGGAGAAACGGCCGCGAAAGAGAAATACAGGAGCAATATCGGGGAATGCGCCGTGACTCAGTCGACGTGACGATATGCACGTGCGGCGATTGCTGAGCGTGTGC